TCAATTTTGCTGAAATTTTCACACCGAGAAAGTCAAAAGCCCAATTTTGGCACCGAAAATTTACATATTTCTTTTATGACGAACAAAAAAATGAAGTTTTTGGAAAGCCTTAAAATTATCTCTGAAATATAGACTTGGATATCTTTAAAAATGTTTTCAGGTCAATCGAATAAAGTTTGAGGCTGGTCCTTGTATAGCAGGATGTAACCATATGAAAACTAGAGTTTTTGTATTCCTTACAAAACTTATCTCACTAGACAAATGAAGTAAGTCTTTGAACAGCAAATATAAAATAATAAATAAATTGATGAAAACGCTCTTTTCAAGGTGTTTCTTTTTCTTTTCTTTTTACGCTTATTATGAAAAATATCAAATGCGTATATCGAAAAAAAACAGGTATACAATAACCTTGTGTTATTCATATATTGTTTGTCAGAACAATTTTTTACATTTTTTTTATATGAAAGCTGAAAACGATAGACAAATTGTAATTGTAGCTCATCTTGATGATGAACAATGTGTTGAATCAACAAATGAAAAATTTAATGAACTAAAAATTCGTTTTAATAAACATTTAAAAACTATTCCTGAATTATATTCACAAGATGATGATCATGATTCAGAATATATTGATGGTTTTCGAATGAAATGTCGTTTTATTAAATCAAATCATATGTTATTATTTACTAACGAACAAGATCGTCTTATTGAAATAACTGAAGCAACACGACGTCAATCGTATATTGATGTTCATAAACATTATCGCATAGATTTATTTGATTTATATATTTTATCTATTCGTTTAATTCATAAATCAATGTCTTTAAATGATTGGTGGATAGCTTATAAGACTTTTGTAACAACATCGAATATTAATAGTAAAGAAAAACAAATTCAATTACTTCGAAACTATTCACACATATTATAATCAAATTTTAATAATTTTTAATATTCGTCTATCATAAAATAAGCAAATATAATTGTTCGTCAAACATCCATACTTATGAATGCATATTCATTAGAACTAATGCTCTATATTGTATCAAGGATGAGTTTATCATAAGCATACATTATCCAGTGAATCTATGATTATAGATGTAACATCGACTAATCAACAGAATTAAACTTATTCTTGAAAGATCAAAGAAAATAAGATTGAAATCAAGCGGCTGGTAAAGTCTCGAAACTATGCATTTAGGGTGTGGGTGTGTAAGTATAGATGTATGAAAAGATATACCCACACCCACACCCTTTTTCTCAGGTTCGGCCGTGGTCCCCCCGGGGTGCCTTTTTCATGGAAAATTGTTTTTGCTAAAATGTATATGATATACTGTAGTTTTTTGTGCTGATTCCGAATATGATATTCATTTCGCTCCCAACTTCAAATTAGATGAAGAGTCACTGTGAAAATGGTCGAAAATTACCCCGAAAATGGTTATAGGCTAACAATGTGCCAATGAAAACAAGCCTTAGAACAAAATTATTTTTTTTAGAAACTATATTGATTTGTAGAGTGTGAGACGACGCAGTTTTTGATCATAAAGTGATTTATGTCTAACTTCACTTTAGGAATTCAAAAACATCATACAAAAATATGAAAAATCATCCAAAATGCACAGAAACAATACTTTTCAGTTAATCTAATCCAATTTTCATCTTACATAACTCGAGAAAAAAACTCGTAAGAAATATGAATAATATATAGTTTTGTAGAGCGTGAAAAACTGCATCGATCTATGTTATTAGTTTTGGCATTGAGATTAAAATAGAAAAAAAATCATGAACATTACAGTTATCATCTGAAACACTAAAAATCTACGAAAGACTCATAGATCCCAAAGACAAAGTCGTCTTGGAAAAATTTTTTTCTGATCAAGAAAAAATGAAACGGAATATACAGAAAGGTGTAGAATTTCAAGCTCTATCTTTCTATCATATTGAAAATGAAAACTGAGAGGTGGCAGATTTCCGATGAAATCCCGCGGTGTCCTTTGAATTCCAAATTTGTCAACGTCGACAAACTTGAATTCCAAATTTGTCGAATCGACAAATTTTATCGACAAATTTACGATCGACATTTTTTGTAGTCGACAAAATCGATGTTTCCCTTAAAATCTTCTCAATAATATAATTCTATATTCAATACTCTTGAAAAACTACCATAGAATATAATCAATTATTTAAATCATATTCCTTTTATTTTCATATTATCATTTCATCCAGTATTATTATTCCCATTATATATAAAGAATACCATTGATAACTGATGTCTTAATTTATTATTTATCATGATTGAAGTATATTTTAATTTTCTTATCGAATTTCTTTTTATTTAAATGATTTATACAAGATTAATATTTACAGAGAAGGAAAATATGAATGAAAGTTTTGTGGACGAACAAATAAGTCATGTGTTTTTAGAATTTTTACTTTAGCACAATTGAGACGTGTCGCATCATTAGTAAAATTATTTGTCACAGTTGCTAATGTTTGGTATTTAATTACAAGATGCATTAAACAAGGTAAATGAGTGTTTCTGTCAGAAAGAAACTGTATGACATAATCTTTGTGTGCTTTGTTAAGATTGAGTCTCAACAGATGATTAAATGTAATCAATGTAGATGAATCATGTTGATAATTTTCTTGTGGTTCAAGATTATATATGATTAATATTTGAAGAAAAGGAAAGTCTTGAGAGATAATTTTGAATAATTTATGTTCAAATGGACGTTCATCAAACATTGATAACAGTCGAACTTTATCAAATTTACCACCTTGAAAACAGCTACTCATATACAAGAAATCATTAAATGGATATGGAATAGAATAAACATGACAGTGAGCTATATCATTTATAAATTTATCATGAGCACACGCATCCATTGATTGAAATCTTCTTTTAATGAAACTCTTCCGAATTTCATCACTCGATGGCAGATCAAGTTCCAGACCATTGTCATAAATTTGAGTGTGTATACAGAAGATAAATTTATGCAGTCGTGGCATATAGTTAAGAACTTCATCGTATAACTTATCACCATTGATATAAGTTGGTTCCATTCTTAATCTTACTACTGAAAGTTGTAACGTTAATTCTTCAAGATTTAACATTCGACGAAGTAATGGAACAATCTGTTCATCATAAAAATATGTATGTTTGTCTGTTCTTAATGAGAAATATTTCAATTTGACAAGTTTTTTCTAAAGAAAACAAGACAATTAGCAGATTTCAATGAACAAATTTGTTTATATTCAATGATCGCACTTATACTTACTGTATTATCTATCCTCGATAATGAACGTTTAATTCTGTTGATACGAATGATTAACGTAGATAAAGATTCGAGACTTCCATTAAGAAGATAAAGACAATCATCAAAACCATTGACTTCTATTGTCAATTTAGTGAGAGTTGAAGATAGAAAACTTCTGTATGAAGTAGTCCAAGACGAAAATGTTACATAATTTATTGAGAATGGCTGAGAAAAGGTCAAATCAGTTAAATATTTACCGACCCATAATATTAAGAGAAATATATTTTGTTTTTTTCCATTTTCATTAGGTATTTCTGCGTCCTCAGGATAAATATCGACAGTAAGATGTGTAATTTGATTACAAAGAAGATCAACTATTAAGCGACCTGAAATGTAAATAAAAACATTAGCAATTAATGATGTCAAATACAATCTATGATTATACTTGATAAATGTTCTAAGAGTATATCAGATTGAAAATTGACCAATGATAATGAATGTAGTTGAGGATAATGAACAGTATCAAGAATACGTTCCACAGAAAATGGATCAACAGTGAGCTTGGTTACTTTCTCATTAATTTGAGGTAAGATTTTTTCACAAATTTTATCAATGTAAACATCTACCGAAGAATTATCAATATGAAATCGTTGGATCACAAAATCCAGATGATGAATATAAAGAGAATCGAGTGCTAGTCGATCAAATCGCTTATTTACACCTACCAATGAATAGAATATATCGATCGTATTCAATTTATTAAAAATGATGCGTAATATTTCATCCGGTAGATGGAGAATATTAATATCGTTGCTGTTTAAAATGTTCATCTCGAATGAATATTTTTCACTTCAAACATTCTTATCTTCTTCCAGTCTATATATATATGTGTATACAATATGTCATTTTTCTCGCTACCATTCATGAGAATAATATTCATACAAGCATGTTTATGATGATGAACGCTTGATGCTATTTTTCTTTCTGCCTAAAATTCTTTTCATTCATAACGAAAAAAAATTTGCGCGGTCACTTGTTGATAATATGATTGCATTTATCATATGTCAAATGCATTTTATCAAGTGGTATCATATTTAGATTAAGTTGAAATAAAACACTCAATATATTGAAAATATAAATGCGCTATTGTTCTCTTTTGTTTGTGTATCTTCCATAGTTTCTTGAGTTGATAGTCGAAGTATTTGAAATGAACACATTAAGTTTTCATCGAGACTTATAACATAGCTAGCATTATCGAATTTGCCACAATAATTTGGTTCAGAAATAAATGTTATTGATTAATGTTTGATAAAAAATTTCTAACCGTAATCAACAACTTACAGTTATTCAATAGAAAAAAATATTCCATTTTGCTTTTTGATCAAATATAACATGATGTCCTCAACAAATAAAGTGATTTAATTTTGATTTTCAGCTGATTTAAATTAAATGGTTTCCTCTTGGATAAGTGTCATCTGTTTTTCACTGCTGCAACACAGAAACATCTTGGTTCAAAGTATAATTATAATTGAGACAAAACTTTATCTTTTGCTTTTTTTGCCACAGTTATATGGAAGCCTTATCGTAATTGTAAAGTGCGGGTAAGATTAAAGTTTTGCTTTTACCGATTTAGGTCCTTAGATTTTTCAAAAATTTCATTTATATTCGAACTTGAAGTAGGCAGTTACTCGCATATCTGATGTAATCTGACTATTTAACAATTATTACTAGTAAAAAAACCAGATAATGTCTCGAGCATATTATGGTTTGGTAGTATTATCGCTTTGATATATTTCAATTAATTAATTAATTCTCATAATGCTCATTCAATTTCTTTTTAGTCTTTATTTATCGATCTTTCCTTGATATTTTTTCTTCTTTATTCATTTCATAAAAACAGATAGAAAAATAGAAAATGCCTTCACCATTTATAATATATCTAATGGATATTAGAGGTCATGCTCAGTTGGTAGATTATACTCTCGTCTTTCAAACAACATTGACGTCTCTGTTGGTACACGTTTCATCCAATACAATTGTTCTCTGCTTATACAGGTTTTTATTTATTATGCTTTTGATTGTGTTAATATTAGATTTGATGTTTTTATTAAAAAATGAACAATTCAAAAATATATAATATTGAACTTGTTACAATAGTCTTACTTTTGACACACTAATCTTCATGATCTATTAACTCCTTTTGTATCTCTGTGTATTACAGATGAGTTTTCTTGTAAGACTATTCACAAAAATTATTGCACATCTAACAACAAGGAAAACATTTTTCTTGAAACTATCAGATAATAAATCACAGACCTTTCTTTTGTTCTGTTTCAACAGAATCATCTCAACAAAGTATTATAAAAAAGTGTTTATTACTGTTTATTTTCTATATACAAAGGTGATAAAAAACAACAACATAATAAATATTCATATTTATTAGTTGATATCAAAAGACAAAATTCCAATGTAGCACTTGTTCAACTTAATCTACCTAAAACATTTAATTGTCTATCTAATGGTCTAATAAAAGAGGTATGAATATATATTTAGTGTTAAACATTTGATATAAAAACGTCAATAATCTAACGAACCTTTCTATTGTAAAAAAAAAATTCTTTATCAAAAATAATATCACATCATTTATTCACAATAATATCATATTATTCATATAGATTTATATTCTTATTCTAGTTGGCTACATTATTGGAACCACTTGATAATGATGATAAAATTGCTTGTATTTTTCTTACAGATAGTACACGTGCATTTGCTTGTAAATTGTATTTAATCTTCCATATGAATGTCTTGATTATGTATATATTAGCGGGTACTGATATCAAAGAAATGCAGAACAATACAATAACGCAAATTATTCATTCAGATTTTTCTGAAAAATTGTCAGCAGTATCAAAAATCAAAAAGCCAATTATTGCTGCTGTCAATGGTTTAGCTGTACGTTATTCTTTTCTTTTCATCTCTGTTTTCTATTTTCATTTATTAGTTAGGTGGTAGTTGTGAATTATCAATGATGTGTGATATTATCTATGCTGGTAACAAAGCAGACTTTAGTCAACCAGAAATTATTATTGGTACCATTCCAGGTACATAAAAAATTAGTATAATAATCTTAATAATACTTTTTTCTATCTTATTTTCAAAGGCGCTAATGCCACTCAACGTTTGTCTCGTTATGTCGGCAAATCAAAAGCAATGGAAATTATATTAAAAGGCAATCGAATCAGCACTCAAGAAGCTGAACAAATTGGTTTAGTCAATACTGTTTTTCCAGCCGATAAACTTGTTGAAGAGGCTATTAAAACAGCTGAATACATAGCTAGTTACTCGAAAATTGTTGCACAATTAGCAAAAGAATCAATCAATAGAGGTGAATACCTTTTTCTTTAGCGACAAGAAATTATCTTCCTTTTGTTGTATAGCATTTGAAACAACCTTGACGGAGAGTAATCAATTCGAACGATTCAAAAATCTTCGTTATCGTACGATATTTGGTTTGGTATGTTAAATATAAGATTGAAAAGGATATATAAATTTTTGTTTTCTTATTTAGACAGACGAAAAAGAAGGCATGACCGCATTTTCAGAAAAACATAAACCTAACTTCACTGGTCAATAATGGTAGTATTGTTGTGTTCTTGTCGATGATATATAACTTGTAGGAACATTCTTAATGTATATATATTCCATAATTGATTATATTCTTTTTTTTCCATTATTTTTTATTTTTATTTTTGCTACTAAGATTTGCATAGAGAAAGATATTCTTTATTAATAGAAAGGAAATTGAGAGTACAAAAAAATTCTGATAGAGGAGTTACGGTAGAAAATAAGGAGAAATTTTTACTTACGAAATTAGATTCAGTTATTCTTTTAACCCGACAATACAAATGAAGTCAGACACACTAATCGTCATATATTCTAAACGATCATAATACTTTTGAGATGTTTTCACATTGATGATTAATGCATCTCATTACTCATACGCTTTGAATTTTTTTTTCGTGTCTATCAGGTTTTAGTAAAGTCTTTTGTAATACAATTGATTTCGTTGTTATTAAATTAGTTATATTCGTCTATACTTGATTGACGAATTAATTAATTTAATACTTCTTTTTCAACATGAAGAGATGAAATCTCTTTTATATATCGAAATCTTCAACTAATTATTAACGTTGATTCTCGAATGTCATTGAAAGGAATATATAATTCCTATTTAACATCCTCAAGAGAAGATCTTTGAAATTAAACAAAATAAAAAATATATCTACGCCATAAAAACTAATAACATAGGAAGATAACACTGTTTTCTTGAGTAAAATCACATCATCTTGGTTGATTTAAGTGTGATGTAGATTCGTATATAAATGGTATGATTCGAAAAGAAGTTTCGAAGCATTGATCTTTTAACATAAGGAACTATTTATTAGCTTAAACAATACGACACTATATTTTTCTTTGAGAAGAAAACTATTAAGAATAATTAGCAGAAAAAAACCTCACATAGATAGCACACCTTGAATAATCAAGGCTATGAAAACAATATTTATGACTGTATCTAATTAGACACTATGAATGTCGTGATCACCATGGAGAGTACTATGATGATAGTGTACCGTTCAATAATTTTCTTCGAAAGAAAATTTTTGCTTTTGTATAGACACTGATTAAATTTTAAAATGTGTTCGTTTTTCTTTGATCTTTGTGTCACCTTTCTCTGTCTATCAACGACTGACGATAAATATGTAAAGAGAGAGAATGATGCAAACTTTGTTCAAAAGATTGTTTAAAAATTTCGTCAACACTTTCCTATATCATTTGTTTTTCAACTAAACAACAATACAGTTTCTTTTTCAAATGGACTTTATTTTCGGTGTTTTCTAATAAAAATGACGTTTTGGGTGTGGGTGGGTGTGGGGTGTGGGTGGGTGTGGGGTGTGGGTGTGGGTGTGGGTGGGTGTGGGTGTGGGTGGGTGTGGGTGTGGGTGTGGGTGGGTGTGGGTGGGTGTGGGTGGGGTGGGTGTGGGTGGATGTGGGTATGGGTGTTCTGTTTTTCACACCCACACTCAACCACACCCACACTCACACCCACACCCACATCCACACCCACACCACCCACGCCCACCCACACCCACACTCACACCCTGAGCCAGCGATTTACCCACGTTTCTATTTTTTATAATCTGTGAAGGCTAGAAAAATAAACGTCAATAATATAAATAGTTGAAGGACAAGTGTCTATGAAGTCTACTAATATCACGTACTATAATCTTTCGATGTTCGTAATATTTAATTGCTTGTAATATATCTATTCGTCATTGATTTAGTTAAATCCTCCAATCTCTACTTCTATTAATATATAATAAGGATGTGATTATCATATTCATTAACATGAACATCTAGTACATTCTTTCCTATAGCTCAACATCATCCAAACAAATTTGAAATGGTCTGTTTCATAATTTTTATGACCAATAGTGTCCTAAAATATTATTCATTTTTAGTATTGATACTTATACCATATTGTTGTAAGTTAACATGTTAGAGAATAATTATAATCTGTTTACAATGAATATAATACATTTATTTCATCAATAATGAACTAAGATATATCATGAGAAAGCAAAAATAGATAAATAAATTAGATTTATTATCAGTTTTTCATATACTATATGGTTGAAACTAGTCCATCATTGAATATGACAAAAAATATATAATTTCTAATTTTCATGATTTACAGATATTATAGTTAAGTATTCTGTTCTATTTTCTTTATAGTGATTGTAGTATTCAAACTGATCAATTTGTTATCGAAGATGAACAACAACATCATCAAACTATAATTCATTTCAACAATCTAATAATAGATGTAAACAAAGGTACTGAAGTTGCATCACCTTCGACAAATATAAATACAACTAGAGATGGACAAATTTATAGAACATTCAAGTAAATCGTATCGATTTTATAACATATATGTATATATCTTACTATTTCTTTATTTAGATTTCCATTTCTTCGTCTACCAATCATAACTGACAATAAACCATATGATTTGAACAATATTACATGTGCCAAGTGTCAATCACCTTTGAAGATCATTGCTGAAAAGTATAGCTCATTTAATTTTAAACGACAGTGTTTAGTTTATTTTTGATAATAGTCAAACTTTTAAAATTGTTCAACAGCAAAATGCTAATGCTGATGATATAAATGAAATCATGTATTGTCACAGATTTTGTGAAGCTCATCAACATGAACATAAACATCATCATCAATATCAATTACCTGTTCCTCTTGATCTTCATTCTGAGTTGATTATACTTGAAACTATCGAATGTTTGACTATTGGCAAAGAATATTCATCTTCAGATTTAATTCATAATGAACTTGTTCAATGTAGTCATTGTTCTTCATGTCTTGGATCATTTGGTATGTTAAATTCAGCATTCTCATTACTTGAAACTTCTATTTAAATCAGAGGAAATTTTTTATTAATTCTATTCAAATTCACTTCAATTTTTACAACTATTAGATGTATATCTATTTAGATCCTCAAAATAATCTTGTCTCATTCAACAAATATTCATTGTTACCTTTTTCAAATGACTATCTATCAACATGTTTTCGTCACTGTGAACCAGGTCGATATATAATTAAAGTGCCAAAGTGTAATGATTCAATATTTCTTGTTTGGATCTTACCTAATCAAATACTATCTGCTAATACAATCATTGATTCATCAAAGAATTCTGCACAACTTGATTTTTATCGAATGCGAAAAGTTCTCTTCACACATGTAACATCATCAGATAATCCAATATTTACTGAATGAAAACGAGACTTTTCTGTAACAACTTTTCTTGTTAATTGTTGCTGTCTTGATCATTTATCAATATCATTTAAACAAGCAATAGAAAAATTTCCTAATGTATTCAATAGCAAAGAATCATTTCAATCAGTAACTATTCCTTGTTAAAAATCATTGTTATAAATAAAAACTAAAGAATAGATAATTATCTATATGTCTTATTTTATGTATATATATATATCAAACGAAAAAGTCAGACAGTATGTTATCTTTAACGATTAATCCTTTCTTTGTATCAAGCAGTATAAGTAATAACAAATGTAAAATGTTAATAAGACCAAACAGCAATTAGTTGACGATCGAATGAACGAACAAAAGAAAAGAAATAATGATATCTGTCTAGTTCATTCATCAACATAGATACAAAAGTAAATGATTTGATACAAATAACTATGGAATCAAACGATACCAATACAAAAGATTGTTCTACTATATATCGTTTTCAATTTGCAAGTATAGCTTTTCTATGTAGTGTTTATCTTCCATTTACATCTCATTCAAATATATGGTCACTTTATACACAACCATTTACACCAGTTAATTGTTCGATGAATAAAAATTCAATTATTTCTGGATTAACATTAAATGTTTCAATAAAATCAATTCTTCCAATTCGCATTAAAAATCATAATCGAACAGATTGTTGCCCTTGTAAGGAAATTTTTAACGGAAATATACATGATAAACGTTTATTGATTCGTTGTCAATCATGGATTGCAAATCTGCATGAATTAGAAGTACGAAAAGCAACTATTATCGATGAAGTAAGTTCAATATCGTACTCAAAAGTATAAGATCACAAATGTTAAAACAGAAAAAAAGGGGGATAAAATTTTTATCCTATCCTCTGTCCTGCAGGACACAGTGGTTGACGGAGTTTCGGAAAAGCGATCGTTTTTTTATCAATAAAAACGATCATATATACGTATACAATCAAGTATTTTATTTCTTTCTTTTTTAATTCACGTTAAGTCACAGAAAATATTTAATACGAAAATAATAATTTAAAATTTTATTGATGTATTCTGCAAAAGTTTTAGTTGATAGTTTTGCCGTTTGTGAGATACACGCATACTCACTCAATTGGTTCGTATCAGTTGAAGGACTATAATTAAATGTGTTTTGACAAATGCGACTATTCATATAACTTTGGATACGTCTGCATTCTCTTGTAGGGGTGTGAATTTATTGTTATTGTTATTAATAACAATAACAAAAAAAGTTATTCGTTATTAAT